TGATTTTTATCAAAAAATTATTATTTTTTAGCTGAGCTCATCTAAATCCTAGGGTCTCTAGGGAACTCCTTTAGGGGCCACTACTACTAAAGTTCCTAATCTTTTCACCCACTGTCACCCTCTTTGAGCAGTTCAACTTACAGCTGTCATTCTTTATAAGATTTCATTTGAACAAAGACCTCTGCGGTTAAATAAGGCCCAGAAAAATCTATGAATGACCCAAAGCTTTATGAAAGTTAATTTGACAGGTGACAAATTAGAACCCAAACTGATCCTAATAGAATGGAATGATGGACTAAAAACAACAACATAAATCTAATAGGGATCAACACAATGTCCTAAATGTAATCCTAAAGCCATTCACACATAACACTGAATACTAATTAAAACTGTCTTCAGAAAACTTTTTTAATGTCATGGAAAAATGGAAAAATGCTTATGGCTATGTTAACTGGGAAAAAGATACAAAATTGTAAATAAAAAATTATATACAGCATGATCTTAATGCAAACAGAATTACGTGCATCAAAAAAAAACATTAAGAGAAAATGACTATCATCAACACTTTTACACATATTCTGGACAATGGACCCAGATGATTTATTTATATTTTTCTGTATTTTTAATTTTCTAAAAGAAACACTGTAGTTTCACAATCAGAACAATAAAACACTAAAAGTATAAAGGGAGTCATTTACCCAAGAACAGGACAAGAGAGACCTGGGATGACAACAATTCATATGCAAAAAGATCCAAAAATTTTAGTTACCTCTTATTGATAAAGATCAAAGCCTACAGCCTTCAGTATGGATTACACCTTGTGGTGCAGTAAATTACTTAATATGGCCCTCCTAGCCACAGTCTTTGTAACTCTCACCAAATGAATGGGTGGGACTATGCAAATGTGAGGTGCTTATGGCCCACCAAGGGGACTGGATAGCTTGCTAATGATGTAAAAATAAGATTCTCGTCACCCTTCTGAGGTTGTTGTTGTTGTTACGTTCCAACGTTCCAACGAGTCAGCTCTGACTCACAGCAACCCTATGTAAAACAGAACAAAATATGACCCAGTCCTGCACCAACCTCACAATCGTTGCGATGCTTGAGCCCATCAATGTAGCCACTGTGTCAATCTGTCTCATTGAGGGACTTCCCCTTTTTCGCTTACCCTTCACTTTGTTGTTGTTATGTGCCATCGAGTTGGATCTGACTCATAGCGACCTCTCCTTGGGTTTTCAAGGTGGTATCTCTATGGAAGCAGATTGCCCAATCTTCCTTCCGAGGAGTGGCTGGCGGGTTTGAACTGCCAACTTTCTGATTAGCAGTCAAGTGCCTTAGGCACTACGCCACCAGAGCTCCCACTTTACCAAGCATGATATCTTTCTCCAGGGAATGGTTCCTTCTGACAACATGACTAAAGTACGTGAGATGAAGTCTGGCCATTCTTGCTTCCAAGGAGCATTCCAGCTACGCTTCCTCCAGGACAGATTTGTTCATTCTGGCAGTCAGTATTCTTTGCTAACACAACTCAAAAGCATCAATTCTTCTTTCGTCTTCCTTATTCATTGTCCAGCTTTCACATGCATAGGTTGTTTTTGTTGTTATGTGCTGTCAAATCGGACCTGACTCATAGCAACCCCTCCTTGGGTTTTCAAGGTGGTATCACTACGGGAGTAGATTGCCTAACCTTCCTTCTGAGGAGTGGCTGGTGGGTTTGAACCGCTAGCCTTCTGGTTAGCAGTCAAGTGCCTTAGGCGCAATTGAAAATAGCATGGTTTGGGTTAGGCACACTTTATTCTTCAAAGAGACATCTTTGCTCTTCAGCATTTTAAAGAGGTCTTTTGCAGATTTGCCCAGTGCAATATGTCATTTGATTTCTGGACTGCTGCTTCCATGGGCGTTGATCGTTGAATCAAGTAATATGAAATCTTTGTTAACTTCAATCATTTCTCCATTTATAGTGATGCTTCTTATTGGTCCAGTTGTGAGGATTTTTGTTTTCTTTATGTTGAGGTGTAATGCATACTGAACACTGTAGTCTTTAATCTTCATTAGTAAGTGCTTCAAGTCATCTTCACTTTCAGCAAGCAAGGTGGTGCCATCTGCATATCGCAGGCTGTTAATGAGTCTTCCTCCAATCCTGATGCTGCGTTCTTCTTCATATAGTCCAATTTCTTGGATTATTTGCTCACCATACAGATTGAATAAGTATGGTGAAAGCATATACCTGATTCACACCCTTCCTGATTTTGAACCATGCAGTATCCTCTTGTTCTGTTCAAATGACAGCCTCCTGGTCTATGTATAGGTTCTTCATGAGCACAACCAAGTGTTCTAGAATTCCCATTCTGTTCAATGTTATCCATAATTTTTTATGATCCATGCAAATGCTTTTGCAAAGTCAATAAAACACAGGTAAACATCTTTCTGGTATTGGGTATATTTTGCCGATACAATCTTTCAATATTGCAATATGAGGCTTGAATTTTTTCTTCAGTTCTTTCAGCTTGAGAAATGCCAAGCATGTTCTCCCTATTGATTTTCTAATTCCAAGACATTTTCTTTGCACATTTCATCATAATACTTTACTATGTCTTCTCAAGCTGCCCTCTGAAATATTCTGTTCAGCTCTTTTATTTCTTCATTTCTTACATTTACTTTCACTATTCTCCATTCAAGAGCAAGTTTCAGAGTATCTTCTGACATCCA